AGATAATATGGATGTGCCAATATTAAAATATAAAATAAATTGTGATGATTTTTCAACTCCAAACTTAATTTACTTTTTGATCTGACCAATTGAATTGCTAAAATTTGTTGTGAAACATATGATCCGGGAAATTGAGTATGAGTTCTACAAAAGAGTAAGGATCACATTTGATTTCATGAAGGAGAACATTGTTTATGGAATTAAGTGCAAATAAATAGGAAAATATTCTTTGTTGGGTGTAGAATTGGAGAACCTTTAAGGTGACAGACTAAAATCTTCAATTCATTCTTCATATTTAAAAACTATCAGAATAGAGAATTAAAACTGCTTTTTTTTTCACAATACATATTAAAACCATTTATATCATCTCATTTTACCAAAATCTCATTGTAGTTGGAAAGATGCTTTTTTACATAAGAAATCTTCATCACATAAACATAGTTTAATAGTTTAGTAGTTACTGTTTAAACTTTGTATTTCAGTTTTTTGATTAGTTAAACAATTTAGTTCTGATAATATCTCAACATTCAAAATTAGTGACAGTAATTTCATTTTGAATTTCTGTTAATTTCTTAGTAAATTTATCATTTCAAATTTAAACCTTCCCGGTGGGATCGATATTTGGGCTTACATAGAAAGTCTTTTTTTACTTGATAACGATACATATACTTAATTTCTTAAATTTCTCATTCATAAAATATTGCATCAAGCTTTTAGCACCGTTGCATAACAAAGTCAACTATATACAAAGTCAACTATATAATTTTCACAACTATATTCACATCTGGATCATGTGACACTCTTGAGGTACTACAAGTCATACAATATGCACATAATGCCACTGGGAGTTGATCATTCCACTCATTATTAAAAGTTATGAAATTCTGATCAAGCCAGCAAAGTCTTATTAAAGGCCACGACTAAACCGTTTGCCCTTGGTTAAAATATAGTGGAGAATTTCCAATCAATACCAATATAAAAAATAATCTGGCATGATATCCTAAAGTTGTACACTATGTGGTGCTTAAGGAAGCACAGGGCATCCTTAACTTTCACTTCTTTCAAGTGTAAAGCTTCTGCCATTTAAAAAAGTAGTACGTTGCTGCCAATATAAAACTATGTCCCCTAAAATCTAAACCCTAAATCACATTGGGAATATGGTCCAGCAAAGATAGAACGCTATGACGATAGCTCAAAAGTTTGGGTTTGAACACCTTGAAGGAACCTATTACTTATCACAAGATTTTGGTGGCACTACATTTGGTAGGTACTTTCACGACATTAGCTATTTTCTTGGTCAAACCGTGTAAGGCAATGGTCAGATTTATTGTACATTATAAACTATCACATGAAATAAGAAATGTGGCACCATAATGTTTAACCTTGGCATTATGGCATTAAAGCCAGACTTGGTCAATTGAGATTCACAACACTTATGTCATACCTAAAATGATGGATGAATGTTAGTCTAACTCATTGGGCGCTGTGATACTTGGTCTTGACGTAGTGGTGCTGAGATCAGACTTGGTTAGACACAGTTAACTCATTTTATGTTACACCCAAAATGAGGTTCACCATCAACATGATTAATGGAATGCCATAGTGTGAGGAGCTAGCGCTACAATGTGGATTTGAATTTCTTACATTGAGTCATAATACACGATATTACACGTGGTTGCAGCTAACACATCTAAAGCTTGGGCATGAAAGGAAGTGCTACGCCTGTCAAATATCTCTTAGCATTGTGGCAATGTGTTATAGTGATATTGCTTGATTCTTCTTACAAAAAGGACCAAGACACACGTTATGGGAATAAAAGGGAAGTCTCCGGGTGCGGAAATAAGTATTAGCACAAGACGAGCCAAAAATAATGCCAACTTGTGTTTTACTTTTGGTCAGTGGGATGGTTCTTGTATAGATGATTCTTGATGGACTTCTCTCTTAATCAGTATATATAAATGGATATATTCTTTTGCTTTTATTTATAAGGTTTATCTACTACAATATTATCATTCTCTATATCAACTATTGTTAATGAATGGTAGTTTGACTTGGAATATTTTTGAAATCGTAGCTCTTTATAGTAAATCTTAGCAATAACTTCTTTTGGGTATTACAAACACTATTTCTCTTCTCAAGATGTTTTAAGAGGTGTTTTTTTGCATCAAAATTGTTTAAAAAATTATCTTGTTTATATTTCATCTTCACATCATTCAATTAGTATTCATTTTAATTTTGTATAATGTTCATCAATCAGATATATTGTGACTTCCAATCTTAAATGCACTCTATTTAGCTTGGATTGATTGTTTACTCTCTAATGCTCCTCTACATTTACTTGTGGGTGCAATTAATTAGTTATTTTTCAACATTTAGGCATTATTTACATTCCTTTAGTAACTATTATGAACAAATGCTCTTTTCCTCAAACTCTAAAATCAGTACATGCAATTTATGCTTCAAGAGTTCTTTTTTCCGAAGTTATACTTGTTTACTTTTGGGAAATCCCTTCTCTGTCTAATTGAAGTAGCTCTACCTGTTTAATTTAATTTAAGCTTTTCCTCTTTTTCCAAAAAAATAAAATGTGAGATAAAATGATCATTCTTTTAGAATTTATCACCTTGAGAAACCATGACAAAATAGCTAACCAAAAGCCAACCATATGACACGATGCATTCCACTCTCCCAAAATATTTCTAGTAGAGTCTAAGTGGAACAAATTACACAACATTAATAATTCCACTTGACTTTATAATAACAATCCACTTATAAAAAAAGTTCAAATGTGGACATGAATTTCCCTATTGCATTACATTTATTCTATTACGAAATGTGCATTGCTAGCTATGATCCTGATATAGTATTACAATATGTACATTTGAGGCATGTTACATTTCAAGTTTAACATTGACAGTTAAAAATTATATAGTAGAAAAAAAAATCTAATAATTAGTCAATCATCATAAGCTTAGCACTTTTAAGTTAAAAAAATTCAATAGTTTCGATATCCAACACAATATTGATTAGCCTTTAATTAACACACAACATAGCATTTTACTCACAAATTATACTATTACAAAGCCAATATTTTGCAAATATATTTTTCTTAATCCCAAATCTCACAACTCGTCTCAGTTGTTAGGAATTATCAATGTGAGAATATATAGCCAAACGGTGATTAATATTAATTTCTAATGAGCTAAAGATATTAAAAACAAGATAATCTAAGTCCAAAAGTAACGAAAGAGACAGAAAGCTACAAACTTTTAAACCAAAATAAAATTAAATAACTTTCTTGGGTATTGATTCATTTATATGAAATACTATTGCCAATCTTTACTCATCTGAATAAAAATGTTTGAACTAATAACATATGAGTTATTTAAAATAACCCATTAAAATAATTACACTTCTAAATCATAGTAGTTCAATAACAGAAGTAATATGCTGGTCTTTCTTACTAAGTTATAATAAATTGTGTGATAATCTGAACATATTAATGATATTTATGACCATGAATATCATAAAAAATTTGAAGTATTAACTTTACTTCACCTTCTAAAATCCAAACTTCTAACTTTTAATGAATTTTATATATCTTAACTAATACATCTATCTTATGAGCATCATCTAAACATAACCTAAGACATCACTAGTCGATGCATCCCCATTAACACATCATTGAATCAATATTTGTCTACTAGTATGAGAGGTGAAAAGACACACACTCTCCTCCGTCTAATATATCTTTGACACAACAGGGCGAGCGTCATATTTCCACTGTTGTTTAAGATGGCTGAAAAATCATGAATGTGTACAGCTACATTAGCATCCCAATTAGAACTATAAAATGATGAGTTTCTTCTATTAACATGAAAATTCAAGAACTTTTTGTGAAAAATATTTTCATCAAATTATTTATAATATACATCATTTCAATAAGACTTAATATTTGTCTGCTAATAATCTAAAAAAAATCTAAATATCATAATCTAATGTCTTCATAGGGGAAAATACTGTATAAACATGCATGAAGCAATATTGATAAGTATGTTTTATTATTAATAACATGAGAGATTAGTTGTAACATAAAATGAATCAACATAGAACATAAGTATTAGGAGTTTGAATGAAAGCCTTCAAGTCATAAGAATTAGATACAAAAGCATGAATTTAAATGAAATTCATAAATGTATTTACCCAGTACAAAATTATTGTGATGTGGTGATCTTAAATCATGCTAATTTGTTCAAACATCAACTCTGATTCAACAAAAATCAATGCATAGGATTTAGATATATGACTTATTAATACTTTGGTAAAGTCAATCAAGACTATTACTTCTTTTTAAATCACTTAGACTCCCAACAATAAATAAGGATATGGCTATTAAATATTATTTCTTTCATTTAAGCATTATTATGAATTAATAAAACTACTAATTATATGCTTTATTACATAATAATTATTTATAGTTATGAACTATTAATATTTAATAAATGTAATTACACTTATAATTAAAGTTTTTTTTATTTATTTATAAGATTTTACATATTCCTTTAGGTATATAAGTCTAACAACAACCAAATTTCACATAAAAACTATTCCAACAAACGACTATATATTAATATGAATATATTTAAATAAGAAAGTAACCTTCAATAGTACACTTACTATAACTTAAAATAATGTTATAATGCTTTTAAATTTTCATATGATTCTAATACATGTAGTTTTCATTTTCACTCAACACTCATATAATATTGTGCTTTCCAATCTGAACAACAATAACATGCATAGAAAAAATTGTAATGATGTTTGTGTTTCACATGGCAAGAAGACAAGTCTTCGATGAGTTCAGCACCACTCTTCTCTCTCTCTCTCTCTCTGTCTCTCTCTCTCGTGTTCCACGAAGATCTGTCTCTCTCTCTCGTGTTTCCACGAAGATTGTGTAAATATCAAAGATAATATTACGTAACGACAATCACCGGATAGACTCAACCGACCAAATGCTGTGTTCAGTAAAAAGAAACATAATTCAATTTGCACAGCATATTTATTACAAAAGTTTCATTGGGAAATTGCTACAGATACACATGATTTGTTACCACTAGCTCCCTCTAACTATAGAGAGGCGCACTATATTCGTCAACTCCCTCTGGCTCCATCTAGCCGCTGCTGATATCTTCCTCATCAAACAAAATCCATATCTCATTCACTCTACCTGTGTACTCAAATGGAGAATTATACTGAGCCACGGTATAGAGAGAAGTGGAATAATCTTTCCTGCTTTTATCAATAGCTGATGCCCAGTTGGAACCGGCAAGACTGGAGTAGAGGGCTGCTGCTTCCACGCCTACTTCAGAATCTAAAACAAAACCTGCAAATTGACGCACTGCTGCGTATTTAACACCCCATTTTTGCAGATGAAGGCCATTTGCAGGAGGAGGGTCGGCCTGGTTCTCCTTTGGTACGTAGAAGCTCACGACGAATGATGAAGTGCAGAAGGGGCCATCACTAGGTACGATCTGAGTGATGACAGGAGCTGTCATGTCTATCTTGACATTGTACTCGTTGTTCCCTTGAATATAGCTGAACAACCTGATTAGTAGCAGGAAAATGACTTAGACAACTGTATGATAGTGATGGTTTTTATTTTATTTTAATTTTTGTTAGGAGAGTTGGAAATGGTTATAAGAAAATATTCATTAAGAGAACAGGGAGTTGGGGATCTGATGAATGTGGCATTGGGGAAAGTTTGCTTGTTTAAAGACAAGCATTAGACCAGGATCTCTAATAAGCACTGCTTACAACCAACAATCAGGTAAAACTGTAAGCCAACTTAGAGAGACAAGCCAACAACAGGAAAGTACCAGTGGAGAACACATCGCCAACATATCATAGTTTCATCGCAACAAGAGATTGGCGCACGGAGGTCTTGTTCTTCATCATGGATAGTTTCAAGAGAGATCTAGCTATTTACGGATTTAATGAGTCTTCTTACATTCAACCAACACTGAGTTTTCATATCACTTAAGTGGTCATCTCTCGTTTCAAATACTGCAAGTGCACAACCAGACATTGATATAGAATGTGTAAAGTAAACCAAATCCATCTTAGAACTTTTCATGCTGGCAGGAAAGTGATTCTCACCTACTAGGACGTGCATTTGGTAGACTCAATTGGATTGGTAGATAGATTTGCTAAATCAATTAAAATGAACTAAATGATACGCAAAACCAAACCGGCCAAATAATTTGTAGAATTTAACCTGTCCGAACAGCGATATGATTTAATTTATTCAGTCCATTGAAATCAAATCCTATAAAGAAACGCATTCAGATCATTCAGGTGGATTAATTGATAAAATTGATAAACCATTTTATTGACAGATTCAGTTTAATCGCAATATATTCAGTTTTCTGTTTGTCTAATTTTATTTTCAAATTGAACTAATCAAATTGAACTAATAACCGTAATTCAATTAAGTTTTAATTTAAAATCATGAACCAAACTAAAATTTCATAAACCGAATCAAATAAACCAAATATACTTGATATGGTTTGGTTTTATTATTTAAACAAACAAATACACACCTCCAATAGAGGTGAAAAATAAAATTGAAGTGGAAAATAAAATTGAAGCATCCCTTGAAGTTGCACCTCGCAATACTTACAATTCTCTGAGTTTTATGGCTCTTATAATAACCAAAAAAACCCTGCCAAACCCTGAGAACCTCAACATCCCTATGAAAATTAATACATGGCGCACTCATAACAGCCAATGATAGAAGGCTAGTTCCTGGATCACATAAATCTCACCCTACCTGACACCATCATGTGTCCTAGTACAAAAGGTACTAAGATACCTACAATTTTACACACCATTATTCCCATAAACATGCCTATCACATATTTTACAACTAGAAAAAAATGACCTATAAAGACAAATGGAAAGAATATGCTAGAATCTATATCAGTTCATTTTTTTACAATGACAAAACATGCCAACCACTTGAATTCTAAAACGTGCCCATTACAATTAACAAAACCAAAACCAAAACACTTCCATTACCCTATGCATCACATTTGTAACTTACAATCACAAAAAGAACATTGCAAACATCTATATCTATTATATTTACATCAACTATCCTGTCTTGGTGGCTGCACCAGCTTGTTGGTCCCTCTTCTTCATCAACATACATTTACAATGGCAACGTCAAAATTCCCTTATAAAAAGTAATATGATGGGTGTAGAGTGAAATAGAACTTATGATTTCCAAAAAAAAGATTTTGAGGCATTCCAAAGAAAGAGACTGGGCTTGGTGGCCATTCTCTATAAGGAAGCAAGATTGATGACATCTTCCAACCCTCTGTATTTTAGTGGGTTGTAAGAAAAATATTTTATCTGCAAGGTTTGTCCGTCTTATTGTAGTACTACTCATTCTTCATCCCTCCATGATAAAAAAATTAATTCTAAAAAAAAAAAATCAATACTTAAACCATGGAAATCTCACCTAGGGTTGTGGGACTAGACTACCATTCAATAGGGTCCAGTCTTGTTTCATATATTATTTGAAGGACCAAATCACAACAAAATGTTATGAAAATCTCTAGATCCATGCTAGAAATTCTCATCTTTAATATCAATGTATTTTTCAGCCAAATTCCCTAATCCTAACTCCAGTTTCCAAAATCTAATTACCCTAGTTGGGTTGTCGGAAAAGAATATTTCCTCTGACCTAATTTTTACTAAAATCCAACATAAATACCAAACTTTCCAAAACACCTCTAGAAACTTTGGGCTAAAATTTTCATGAGTTTTCAAACCAAAAGATCTAATAGATTCCTAACACCAAAAACCTAAAGTCAGAACTAGGGCTTCTTAGGCTTTGGATTGTTTTGTACATGCTGACTCTATTCATACTCATAACCATGAATACAGCTACGAACTTCTTAGACCTCTTGAGAAGAACTCTAAATCACAATTGGCTCCCAATAAGAAGGTTAGCATCAGGCTACATTTTTTTTATACCAGAGACAAATTTTAAAGGATACTATATCTAATTCAACTTAATAAAGTTCGGAGTTAGATAAAAGTATTTGCAAATGGTAAAAAAATGAATTAACAAAGTGATTTCGATAAACTTTTGAGTAACTTTTTTTTGTGATATCTTATTTTCCATTACAAAATTATTGCTAGAATGCATGTGGTAGGCAATTCTACGAATATGTGTTATTACAAATCAATTGTCTTCAAACATTAAACCTAGCCATCACCCTGTAAACATATCCACAAATTTAGATTACTTGAGTGCTTATAAGTGGTACTGGAGTTAGGGTGCACTATCAAGCTTAGAGTTGTATTAGGGTGCACTTAATATTTAGGGTATTAGCTTAGAGTTGCCATCCCTAAGTAAACACTATCAAGCTTTAACTTAGGGTGCACTTTTATTTAAAAATAAAAGTTATATCGCTTAGAGTTGTATTTCAATTTTGTTGCTAAAATATTTATCATTTAATGTTTTCACTTTTTATTTTCTACTGTATTGAAAGCTAAAAAATTTCACAATATAATTACAAATTTTCTCTTCAAATTAGAGAGCACATCTCATTTTTAGAAATATTTTTCTTGATTTAAGCTACACGATTTTGCATTTTCATCATAAAGATCATGCCATCTATGTCTATTAGCTTAGATCAAATAAAAAATTTGCCTAAAAGGGTAGAAAAGGTGGCCCTGCATAATAACGGGAATTTTAGTAAGTTACATGATGAGATCAAGAACTAAGCAACCCAGATCCAATATATGACCACCAAAATACAAAAACCACCATTGGTTCCACAACCAAACAATTATGATAACCGAGCTAAAAAATGAACGTCCACTAAGGAGAGACCATTTTATTGGCATAAAGGGCACTTGTAAAACCAAAGTAATTATGTTCTTTGACCTACAAAACTACCACTGAATAATTTGATACAGGAGAATTATGATGACATCTCACTATTACACACAAAAGGTCTATTAATTGTTGAACATCTAGTATCTAGAGCTATAAAATTACCATTGAGTTTACCTCAAAGAACATAGAGTTATTATTTGCTTTTAGTGACATAAGGGCACTGGTAAAACCAATGCAAAACCCAAATTATGTTCTTAGATTAGATAAAAGATGAGAAAGACAAGAATGATGCGATAAAGGAGAATTATGATGACATCTCACTGCTAGATAAATATTATAAACACATCTTATAGGGCATGTTATGAGATATATGATCATATTTATAGATGAGAATTGGAGGGAAAAAAATATTTTTATCATCTATCATGTGAAAAATAAGAAATGTGATATCAACACAAGCATGGTAAAGTAAACTTAAAAACCGAACTCCATCATGAGCAATTCCATATAAATTTAGTAAATCAAACTTCATTATCCATTACATCTGAATATCTAATATCCATTAAAATGACTACTTATGAAAATCATATCTAGTGTGATGTCCTATTGATCGACATAATATGTATTCTACGAGATAGATCCTAGCATTATGAAATGAACATTATACATTATGGTTGGGACATTACACGAATTCAGGCATAAAAGTAAGCCCATTAATTGTTTTCTATAAAACCAACAGATAAATAAGCACGTTCTATTTCTCACAAATCAAGTTTTATTTTTAAGATTAAGCCAAAATTAAATTAGAAAAAAATGTAAAGCTTTAATTGACAATGCTTCCAACTCTTATTTTTAGGGAGAGCAATTTCACTCATTCCTGAGATACTTAGATGATTTGATTTAAAGTTGTAAGTGCAGTTCAATAATCTATTGGGAGTTTTGTGATTGTACTCTTCTCTGCATCTTACAAAGGAGAGAAGTTGTCTCTATTTTAGACGAGCATCACATACTTGCTTTGTCTGAGATTTATTGACTGCATAAACGGACTTAATCCTTAATTATCTACTAGATGAGTTGCCAACTTTGCGGGGATATATATGTCATAAATTTGATCCCTACTTCACAGAGCCCAAATCTATTATACTATAGGAGGAACCCAAAGGAACATTTTGATTTAAAAAGACACGTTGATAAACTTTTAAGAAAATGCTTTCCTTATGAAAGCCTAAGTACTTGTCCAGTTCCTGCTCTCCCCAATAAAAAATGGACTAAGGAAAATGTATTTGGACAATTGCGCGGTAAAGAAAATCATTATAAATTACAGATTTCTATATATAGATTGAATGACATGTTAGATCTAATTATTGAACCCTATTTATTCTCCAAGATAGACTTGAAGAGTGATTACCAACAACAACAAAGCCTTAGTCCATTTCTATCACACAAAAGGCCCAAAGCATTCCTCCACTTCAATCAACCAACTTGAATTCTACTATTAACATCCTCATCTATATCACCATCGCTTTGATCAACAGACCTGAGATATCTAAATCGTTAGCATTATTTAATAATTTGAAGAGTGATTACCATTAGAACAAAATAAGACCTAAAGACAAGTGATAGATAGCTTTAAAATCCCAAACGATTTTAATGAGTGGCTAGTTATGCCTGTTGAGTCATCCTATCATTGCAT